GCTATATAAGGAATAGCAATGGATAATTTTAAATTACTCAAGTGTTCGCATTTTTAACATTCCCTGGTCACTTACCAGTTAGAATATTAAAAGTTTATTATTGGTTAAAACTATTTTCGCCCCTTGTTGATTTTTTTAGAGAAAACTTCAAAAGAAGTCCATTACTATACTTTAAGAGTTAATATTGAATATAGCATTATGTGTGACCAGACAGGGCACCAACTTCTACAATTTATGAACTCATCTAACTCTTACTATTAACTAGTCTTTAGAGGTTTTGCACAGAGTCAATGAATGACCATTGTCATTTTTGCCAGTTTTGTGTGTGTTCACTTCCATGTTTTCAAAGGTAACCTGATGTCTCAGGAATAGGTATATTTGAACAATATAATAACTGGTTCACTTAAAGAAATAAGAAATATGTGCAAATTATTAATGGGCATAGTAAAGATTGTATGAAGAAAAATATGGGAGAATCAACATTAATAACCATTGTGGAGAGCAGTATAATGTTCTTACTATGTGTGTATATGCATGCACTATGTATATACAGTTACCATTCATAAAGTTTGAAATTTGCCATTACCCACACATGTGTACATTAAGACTAAAGGACTAAAAAGCAACTTCAGCAAATGCTACTCTGTTAAAAACACACCAAAAAAATCTATCCTAAGCTCAAGTCCTACTGAGAGGGCTGTAGTCTGCTTTGTGCACTGCAATTACTTGCTCACTTGTCTTTGTTTCTGTACTAGATTGCAAGCTCCTCAAGGAAAAAGGACTATGTCTTTCTCATTTCAGGATCCCTTCTTGCACAGTGTTTTCTGTATAGTAGGAGCTCAATAAACATTTGTTGAATTGAATTGAATTTCATTTGGAAAAATAATTCCTAGCTTGTGTAAAACGATGTCCTTTATCAGGAATTATTATTCTCTATAATATTGGCTGAGCTTGGGCTTTTGTTAGAAAATATGGCTATATTTTACATAGGATTGTGAAATTCAAGCCAATTATCACTTGCTAACATAATGACTGAAATAATCTAAAAGGACCTCAGTTCAAACAAGCAAATGATTACAATTGACAGTGGAAGTGTAAATATAGCCCTAATTAAATTACATATCTAATACTTAGTCCCTCCCATTACCCAAGTTTGGTTTTTAGTCATTACATATGTATAGCAAAGTATCTGACCCCACTGATGGTTTCTATAAGAACAAAGAAACAAACAAAAACATTTAATTTTTTTCTAATATAGAAAACAACTTTTTTATGTTTTGCCTTATAGAAATGTTTACTTACTATATACTATTAAATATACTTTTTTGCATTAGATCTGTGATTTCAGTGATACAGCAATATTCTAGTGAGGAGCTTTCTTTACCAATACAGATGGACACAGTTCAGCATCTTAGAGTCTTGGAATTTCCAGGGACACTGAGAAGTTAAGTGACCCAGGTCACAATAGCCAGGATGTATCAGTGGTGGGACTTAAACCAAGGTCTTCTTAACTCCAAGTCCCCCTCTATCTTCACCCAACCATGCTGCCTTTCCATGACATCTGATATTAACAACTTTTAATTTACATCTAATAGCTTTTGAGAGGAATTCCATGCTCTGAGTCCTCAATAAAGTTTGGAGGGTTCTTTTCATTGAAAAGACAGTATATTATAAACACCTGGCTCAATAATAAAAGATAAAGTCAACTGATGATTTAGATTACTGGATACATTACAGTGGAACTCCATTTGTTTTTCTGTATTCAGTGGAAGAATAGGGACTGAACCTATGTGTTCATTGGCTTAGAGAATACATGAATGGGGAAGCTCCCATTCTCTGGGTGTATCGACACTTATGCTGCTGCCTATTATTATTAGAGAGTTGCGTAGAGCAATGAAGAAAAGAAATGAAATGTCCAAAGTCATATAGACTACATAATGGTTATCTAGGTAGTGCATTGCAGAGCCTGGAGTCGGGAAGGTGAGTCTTCCTGAGTTCAAATCCAGCCTCAGACACTTACTAGCTGTGTGACCCTGAGAAAGTCACTTAACCCTGTTTGCCTCAATTTCCTCCTCTGTAAAATGAGCTGGAAAAGGACATGGCAAACCACTCCAGTATCTTTGCCAAGAAAACCCCAAATGGGGTCACAAAGAGTTGGACATGATTGAAACAACTGAGCAACAACAAATGCATATACATATACATGGACAGGGCCTGGTCCTATGATGTCTTCCTAGATGAGGAAACTCCCTCCACCAATACGTCGGCATCTTCTCTGCAACTTAGTCTTAGAGAGAGGTCTAGAGCAATAAAAAGTTTAGTAACTCGTTCTGGGGCACAGAGCCAATATGTGTCAGAAACAGGGCTTAAACCCAGCTCTTCCTGTGTCCAAGGCTAACTTTCAATCCACTAGACTTTACCTTAAAAGAAGAAAAGTTTCTAGATCCTTTGCTAGTAATGAGTGATGGTGTTTATCAATAATCACTGTCATGGAGTTATTACTTTGTCCACACTTCATAATCCTGGAACAAGGATAACACAAATTAGTGATCTGCAAGTATATCAAATCAAATTAAGATGTGTAAAAATGCATATGCTTAAATACTTAAACATATTGAGTGATTTGAGAGCTGTTTGTTAAACAGCCTGTTGTTACAAATATAAAAATGAAAACATAGTTTACTTAATGTAGCTATAGATCTTGGCTTTTTTAAAAAAAAGTTTTCTATTCAATTGAAAATTGTATACATGAATGATTTTGCAGTAATTTTAATCCTACTTGTGTATTTGCTGATGTATTAAAAGATAGTTTTCTCAGGTATTTTTATGTCATTGATAAAAAATAAACAGGTACTCCTTATTTATCTGAGAAACATTCAATTCAACAAATATTTATTAGATGCTTTCTTTTGTAAGGCACTGTGCTAAGCTTATATATTTATTAATGAAAACTTCATTATCCAAAGTGTTATTACAGAAAAGTATTCAGTAAATTTAGGTTTAAATACATCTAATGTTCTTGTTCATGAAAACAAGAAGAAATGATGTGAGACTGGTGATTGAAGACATCTGTTCGTGGCAAAATGCATTACAATAAAGTTTTTTTTTAATTGCAGTTGTAATTTTGAGAATGGTAAATTGAATGGCTGCTAATGAACAGTTCACATTCTTAACTGCAAGTCTGCAGCTAGAAATGGGAGAATGGAAATGGTTTCTGTATTTAATTTTGATGTTTTGGAAAAGTTCCAGATTCTGCCTTGAAACAAATGAGAAATTAGAACTTTCTCCATTATTTAGGAATAACTCGTGTCACCCTAAATAAAAGTTGTTTTTAACTTTAGCCTTTAAAAAGCTCTATTATTTCACTTTATTCAGTGAAATTAAAAGACATATTTAAGCTCTATCAACTTTTGTAAGTCATTTTAATTTTCAGGAATTATATGTCATAAGCCCTGACCTGAAAAAAATGAACCCTGTCTGATATAGTTAACTATGTAAAAGGCAAAATGATTATGGTACTTGCTAAAAGTGTTATTCACACTTAGTAATTTTAGGATCCATAGAGTAAATATGGTTTAGTAGACATCTTAAAGATAGTGATATTTGAGACTAAATAGAATAGTCCGGAAAAATTCAAAATTAGTATAGGTTTGAGTACTTAAAAACAATTTCATGGACGCAGTACTTAATTATGGACCATGAGAAATGAGAGACTTCATTACACAAATGTTTTTTAAAAGAAAGAAAGAAAGAAAGAAAGAGTACACTTCTCATATCTAAGGACTATGAATATAGGGGGAAAAAATACTTCCCAGACAATGAACTTCAGACTTTCATGATCTCGTGACTTCAATAGTAATGATAGGGTCTGGGTCACGCTTACCTTGTGATGAAGGCTGTGAGTATAATTAGAAAGGGAAAAGACTAACATGAAAATATAAAGCCAACTTGAAAAATTAGCTTTTCCATTATATCAGGTCCCAAGCAGCCTTATGATTACAAAGAATTTTTCATGAATCTTTTCTGGTCACCAGAAACCTGATATGAGCCTACTTTTTGTCCCATATCCAGCTCTAATAAGAAAGTACTTAGTATTATGCCTTACTAGGGTTAGTAGAGTGTGAGAGCAATTGAGGTTAAGTGACTTCCCCAAAGTCACACAGCTAGTGAGTGTTATGTGTATGAGGCCAAATTTGAACTCAGGTCCTCCTGACTCCAGGGCTGATGCTCTATCCACTGCGCCACATAGCTGCCCCAAGAGTTTCTTGATCACTACATTTTCACTGAGCTCCTTCCTGTGCTAGCAACATATTTGACTTATGGTGAAATTGAGCCTCACTTCCATCCAGTAATCAGCCCAGCAGTTCCTGGTATTATCCAACATAGAGGTAATTCTCCATGGAGCTCTCTTCTACAGAAAGTTCCATTAAAGCCGAAATCAAATAATCCTTGCTCTCCAAGGACATCATGGGTTTCGTAGGAATAGGAAATGTGCTATGATGTTTTCAAAATAAATTTTTGCTCACAATTCCTTAAATTTTATCAATCCTATCCTTTTTTTTAATCACTTAAAGGATATATTCTTTCTTATTTTGAAAAAATTTAAATGGCTAGATTTTTTAAATATTTGTTTTTAGGAACTGTCCTGTGGAATATGCTATAATTTGAGTTCAATGCAGAGATTTTAAAATATAATTTGGAAGCATATCCATTTTTTTCAAGTTACCCTGACTCAGATTTTCACTTTGAGAACAGGTTTCTATTATCTCATCTGAGTTCTCCCATTTCTATATGCAACTTTTTGTCTGAGAATGTGCCTGTTGATGTAGCTATATCTATAATGACCCTTCATGCTCACATATTTCATAAATTCAGTAGGAAACACATAGTAGTGTAGTTACCTGTAATTTGCACTTCTCCTAATAGTTCTAGAATCATGTAAGTATCAATGGCTTGTCTTTTGTAATGACAATCTCTCTCTCTTTTTTTTTTTTTTTAAGCAGCTCAGGTTGTTTCTCCACAGTCTACTCCAGCCAGTGTTGAAAATAAAAATGATGTGAGCAGAGAAAACAGCACTGTTGATTTTAGTAAGGTAAATAAGTTGTGAGTTTTGTTTTTACATTTTTGTGGCATATGTAAATGCCTTGATTTTCTTCTAGAAGTTATCAAACCACATTTCCAATAAATCTTTGTGTTAATAAATGTTGTTTTTACATGAACAGTATTTCATTTCTCAGCCAAAATCTGATGTTTAGCTGCAGACAATAGTAGCATTTTATTTAAGATATAAGGTTTTACTAACTCTAAAAAAAAGCACTTACAGATGCAAATTTTATGCATCAGTTTGTAGCCATTTAGCAAATTTGTGTCTTTCAATTAAAAGAATAATTTTTTTAACCTAAGAGAGTGTGAAGATTACCCATAGGGTGGTTCCACCTTCCATAGAAATATATTTATATGTGTGTACATATGTATTCATGTGTATATATGCATACACATACTAATACTGTGTATGCACACTTATGCCTGCAATGATGCATAGTAGATAGGTAATTCTGCCTTCAAGCCTTGTCTCTGCCACATAATGACTATGTAGCCAAGCAACCTAATTTCTCAGTGCCCTCAAGTAACTAAGACTTGAAATGGAAGAACAGTTGACCATCTGTATTGGCAAAGGGGGTTTCCTCAGTAGTTCCCTGCACCACTGAAATCAGAGATTTGAACAAAATACCAAAATATATCTACCTACAAACACATGTGTATATGTGCATGTGCATATGTGCACATATATTTGCATATCTCTTCTTAGAATGTCCTTTAAGTATTTTTTGCTTACACATTTGTGAAAGAAAGAAAGAAAGAAAGAAAGAAAGAAAGAAAGAAAGAAAGAAAGAAAGAAA